CCAGTTGCAATATGTTCGCCATTGTTTCACAGGCACGCATGCAACTCGGTTCCCATATTGTTCCGAATTCGCTCGTGCAGACTTGATCAATTTCATAGTCGTTGCTCGACCATTGTTCACGACTTTTTGTCCGTGGCGAAGCTTTCTGCATCCCTGCCACGATTCGCCAGGCGGTATCGAATTTTGGGAGATATTTTGGTCGCTGGGTCTTTCTTGGCTCGATCCTCACCGATCCAGAGGTGCAAAACACAACATTTTTATACACACTGTACATGGTACAAGCCAAACATAGCGCGGGGGATATCCGCAATAAACTATTGCCCTACATTCAAATGCAAATATTGGAAAAACTCGCGAAAATATTTCGTCCGTGGTTGTGGAACGATTCACCCTCGAAAGGCGGATGGGCGAAAGGGTCATTTTGTCCCGTAATAAAAAGCATGTTTTCAATTATGTAGATTGTATATACGAACGCTTGAAAAATTCCATAAATTTTCCAATAGTTGTACAAAGTTATTCCAGCCAAGATATATTTGTATCTACTCTAATTTGTCGACGCCTGGGTCAAAATGGCACTGCATCCGCTGTACGAGGGTTGATAGTCGACGAATGATCGCGATCGGAGGAGGAGGCGATTCGGTTTGGCGACTAATTTCGACGGTAAAAGACGGATAAAAGTCCCGATCGAACGACGAAGCGAGATGATAACGATTGAACGTTTCGAGGACTATAGATTCAACGAGAAAATGTCTCGTGCGTGGCCCCCTCCCCATAGGTGCATTGCCGAGAAAAAACATCGAGCACTGGTGGGTTGGATGGATGGCGAGGGCTTAGTTCACGATTTAAAAGACTGATATGATAAACAAACGAAGCCACGGGTCGAAAGAATCACCCTCCGAACGTTAAAGGGTCGTTAAAAAGAATTCCGACGAGTTCGCGACAGGGAAACACATCGTCGTCGAGCCTCCTTGCAGGTCGAGCCCGACAACAACCAGCGAAAAGAGATGGCGTTGTCCATGGTCCACGAGAGACCACGAGAACAAAGGGACGTAAACGTTTCGATAAAGTGATACCGAAGACCACCGAGCGAGGAACGAAAAGCGAAACTGTCGAAAGATGACGTTCGCAAATAAGCTTCCCGACTCCACCCGCCCTTAGCCCCCGGACCCCCAGCCCTTACAGCCCTGCAGACCCCTTTTTAAGAAAATAGACCACTCGATCTCGTCCAAAACGCTTCCGGAATAATTAAATTTTAAATTTAAATCCAATTTGGACGCGTCGACTCGAGCTCGAGACAAATTCGTGCTGTAACTTTTATATTTTTATGTTATACAATAGTTTTTCTCGCCTTCGAATTCAATTTAAATTCAAAGTTTAATTTCCCCGGCTCGTTTGCGAGGAGAACGAGCAAAGAGTCTGTTTTCTTTTCAACCCTTTTGAGCAACCCAGCTCCAGAAGCAATACTAGCCGACCCTCGATTAATGCTACTTTGTATTTTTTTTGTTTTCTCTTTCTGTCTGTCTGTCTCACGATCCCGTGTTCCCCGCTGTGCTCGCTCGCCCTGCTCACCTGCCCTGATACCAACTACGTAAAAAGTACGTAGTGAAGTGTGTGATTGTCGCCATTAAAACGATCGGCAACATTATGTTGGTCACCTATCTCCTACAGTTCATGTTCGCTGTTATCGGGGTACAGCTGTTTAAGGTAAAGCCCAACCACTTAGAAAGATTTAAACTAAGCCAACTACTTGGAGAGAACTTTCTAATTCTCTTTATTTTTTTTCTACTTTTTTGCTCTACCAGTTTCCGATTCTTCATACTTTCTTTGTCTACTCTTGTTCTCTCTTTTTTTTCATTATTTTTATCTTTATTGGCATTTGTTTTGCTATTTTTTTCTCGTTCTCTTCTCTTACGTAATCTTCTTTATTTTTTCTCGTTCTTTTTTCTCGTTAGTCGTTTTTGTTTCTTCGTCGTTGCGCTTCGTCGTCGACGTCAGGCGGATGGCCTCGCGTTACAATCGGAAGCTTCGAAAGCGCGTCGCTCCGCGCAGCCCGGAAACTTCAATTTCCCTCGCGAAATACGGGGTGCCGGCGCGTTTTCCACGGATCGAGGAAATTGACGATTGCCGCTCGACGATCGTTGGAAATCCCCCGTGTTTTCTACCCCCGTACACTTCCGGCTTTCAAACTGCAATTTTATTCGTTGCCCTCGACTAGGCAAGAAATAAGTGCAATTCGAAATTGTACTTTTGCAAAATTTAGAAAATTTCCACACCCCGTACTTGGCGAGACGCTGCACGCTGACCGGTCGCAACGCCCATCCAAGATTTTCCATCGATCCGACTAGTCTTTCTCGATCCTTTTTCGATAGGCGTGCGTGGGTAGCTCGAAACTCGAATTCGGACCTTGAAGAAATCGGTAAATTGGTGCTGATAGATCTCGGGGCTGAATTATATCGAATGATCCCAAAACTTAGATTCTCGATACAATTATCTCCGGTCTTTTCGAGCCCCTTTCAAGATGTATCGAGTTCCAATCAAATTTTGTAGATTTCTGGAGGGTGCAAGTTCGAGTTTCGAGCCGTTCACGCGCCCCTGTTCTTCGAGTTCTGTGCAAAGGAGAATATCGGTGAGCTGGTTGATCGGTATCCTTGCGAAGCAATAACGCATTATGGGGAGTATGGTCAGCCAGGATCGCGAGGTCGAGCATGAAAGTGGGCCGGTGATCGATTAACCTGGTCGAGGATACCGGTGGTTACCGCCAATATTACCCTTTGCAGAGCGTCTCTGCGTTCGCGATAACACCCTCGAGCACGGTAACACGCTTCGTAACGATTTAACGCTTCGTCGTGGAAAAAAACGGGCGAAACTGGAACGATTCGTCCGATAGCGATACATAACCCACCATACGAGTTTAACGAATGCTTCGTAGATATCGAACTTCAGATAGAGAGAGAGAGACAGAGACACGTTTAACAGATAGGCATGCAAGTTTCGCTGTATATGTGAGAATGAAGCTTTGATCGTAGTGCATGCTGATCGTACGCGTACATACACCGAAACCACGAGTCACCGCCGCTGACATGGCGACGCAAATTTAACCAGTATCTAAAGCTCCCCTCGCGACAAGTCGAAACGTGATAGGTCTCCGTCAAAAAGCTCTTCGAGAAACGAAACTATGCGCCCTAAAAGCGCATTTCCGTTCCTATTCCCGTCTTTACGGAAGTGTTTTCTAACGATCCTTTCTTCGATCACTCTCCTCCTTTACAGCCGTGTCAACCTTTTGATATAGACTTCAAAATTCAACCCCTAAAATTACGTCCCGAAAAACATTGGCCTATTCTAGAATTCTATTTTACAACTCGAACGACTCGGGCGATTTATTCGGTCACAATTCGGAACAATTTGCCAGCGAGGGATCTTTTTAGTCGATGGAAAGTGCGAATGCTTTCGCGGAGCCGTTTTCATTCTGCCAGCGGGCTTTTAATTCGTCCGGCGAGTCGGGTTCTCGAGAGGACGCTTCTTACAATGTCTCGAGAGGTAGACGGTCCCGCAAAACGAGATTCAAAGTAGAGAAGCATTCAGGCATAGAAGTGCACATAGTCGTAGACGGTTAGAGTGGCTTTCGAGTGTTACGCCAACCCCTTAGAACCCCTGCATAATTCACGCCAACGTAGTTGCGGAACACGAAACAGCGTCGAAAGAAACGTCCACGAGCGGTCATCGTGTGACTATTCGGGAAACAACCGAAACGTAGAATCGAACAGTTGAAACAGGTGCATGCCATGATCTCCTTTCTTTCCGTTCGCAATCTGCAACTGCGCTAACCATGACCGTCGTTCCGACTACTAACAACCCCAAAAGATGGAGCATCCCTCACCTACGTAACATGGAATCCAACCCCTCGAAAATGGAGGCGAAACAAACCAGTAAACCCACGCTACACTCGGTGTTTTTTCCAAAATTTTTACTCAGAAGATGGAACAGTATCTTCTAAACGCGATCTCTGGCGCTAGATCCATGCAATGGGGGATCGATCGCGTGAATTCGGTTAGGGAACTTCCGAGGGAAACAAATGCCATTCGTTCGTCCATTCTACTTGGAATTTTACATTTAGAATCTTGAAACTTGTAATCTGTTTATTCCTATCGCGAATGGCGTAACATTTTCTAAGATCTTTGGCCCTCGGAGTCGCAACTTCTAGTCTCCCAAAAAAGAGTCGACGATTCTTCGAACCTCGTAACGCCGCTTCTGCACGAGCCACGATTGGTATCGCCTGTGCTTTTTGACTTGCAAGCAATTATGGACGGGACAAAGTCGGCGAAAATTTCAGGAACATTTCAGGACCACCCTAAACGCGCGAGTAATTCGAAAGGGTGCTCGTTTCGAACGTTTCTTGAACTTGACGAGACAGACGCGTCTTCCACGAAGAAGGGAGCAACTCCTAATCGAACGCTTAACGAGATCGATATCGTGCGTATCGTCGAAACGAATTATTCTGGACTCTCGATTCTAATCGTGCACGATCCAACGTCGCTCGATCGACGTAGGCCAAAACGAGACCAACTTGCATCACGGCGTACCTTGTATATATTTATGTATAATATGTATTATCTCTGTATTATACGTGCACGCAGTACGGAATGCTTTTCTTTTCCCTCTCACTTCACGATTTTTTTTCTTTCATCTTTCCTTTACTTTTGCTCGATTATACTCGCTGCTACACGACTTTGCTCTAGCAACAGAATGGCCAATTAACGGAGATGCTGTTTTCGTTCTATCGACGAGCGTGGCCGGTACTCTTGTCCTCCGATTTCCATCGTCCGTTCGATTATTTATTACCGCGATCGATCCTGGCCGCGCGGGGTCGCGATAAACCGACGATCGGACGACAAGAGCATCGGGAACGCTCCACCGTGGCTTTGCAACTTTGCGCGAAGCCGCTTGTCTGCTTCCAACGAGCGATTTTCCCCTCCCATTAATGGCTCTTTTGTGTTATATAGGGGAAATTTTTCATGTGTTCCGATGCATCGAAAATGACGAAAGACGAGTGCCAGTAAGTTATTCCATCGATACGAGCATCGAGTGGAGCGTCGTTCATCGTCGTAAACGCGGGAAATCAATTCTGTTTGAAACAATTCTTGCCATCTGCGATCGAAACTAAAATTCCGACGGTGACGATGCATCGACGATGCTCCAAACTATTTGGAAGGAGGATTGGAAACAGACTCGAAATGCTGGATGCTTTCAGGGGCACGTACCTCGAATTCGATAACGGCAACATCAATAAGCCGGTGATGAAGGAGAGAAACTGGTACCAGAACCGTTTCCACTTCGACGACGTCGCCAAAGCGATGCTCACGCTCTTCACCGTCTCGACGTTCGAGGGCTGGCCGTCGTAAGTAAGCTCACGTCCCGTCGATCCGCATAATGTTCTCTCTCGTGTGACGTGAACGAGAGCCAATCGTTCCTCGCGGATGCAGAAACCCCGTTCTCGACCCTTCCAACGCGCTTGTGTTCTGTTTGTGCGTATCCCTTAGCGTTTTCTCTCCCAACAGATTGCTAGACGTGTCGATCGACTCTAACAAGGAGGATCATGGACCAATTCATAATTTTCGGCCGATAGTGGCCGCGTACTACATCATTTACATCATTATCATAGCATTCTTCATGGTGAACATCTTCGTTGGTTTCGTTATTGTCACTTTCCAGAACGAGGGTGAGCAAGAGTACAAAAACTGCGAGCTCGATAAGAATCAGGTGAGTCCGTAGCGTTTCGAAGAGCATGTCTCGACGGATAAACGCGGTCCGTTCGCGCTGTACGAGGGTCCGTACACGAATACATGGTTTTTTCCCCCCCGATTTAATGCCGCAGCGAAACTGCATCGAGTTCGCGTTAAAGGCGAAGCCAGTGCGGCGATACATACCAAAGCATCGAATACAGTACAAAGTCTGGTGGTTCGTCACCTCTCAGCCGTTCGAGTACACCATTTTCACTCTGATCATGATCAACACCGTCACCCTGGCGATGAAGTTCTACCGGCAACCGGAGATCTACACGGAGGCGTTGGACGTCCTCAACATGATCTTCACGGCGGTCTTTGCCCTGGAGTTCATCTTCAAGCTAGCGGCCTTTCGGTTCAAGGTACGGATTCTTTGTTTAACCTTTTCGCGAAACGAATTACAAAGAATAGGAAAAACTAATGCGTTTGACGCGAACTTGCAGAATTACTTCGGCGACGCGTGGAACGTTTTCGACTTCATCATCGTTCTAGGAAGCTTCATCGACATCGTGTACTCGGAAGTCAATGTAAGCTTCGCGCAAAGTAAGTTCGCGAACGAAGAGGAACGCGATTGTAATCGAGAAACGAAACTTTCAGCCCGGCTCGACGATCATTTCCATAAACTTCTTTCGGCTGTTCCGTGTGATGCGGCTGGTGAAGCTGTTGAGCAGAGGGGAAGGCATCAGGACGCTTCTCTGGACTTTCATTAAATCCTTCCAGGCTCTGCCATACGTAGCTCTACTTATTATAATGCTATTTTTTATTTACGCCGTGATAGGTATGCAGGTAAGCGATAAATAAAAGAAATTGAATGAAAAGACCGATTACCTAAACGAAAAATGAGCACGTTTCTTCTCCCAGGTGTTTGGAAAAATTGCGATCAACGACGAGACGTCGATAGACAGGAACAATAACTTCCAATCGTTTCCGCAAGCGGTGTTGGTACTATTCAGATCGGCTACAGGTATGCGCGAACTATAACGAAATTATGAGACTGCAGTTAATGAATTCGTCACGATGTCGATACAGGCGAAGCTTGGCAAGAGATCATGATGGACTGCTCGGCGCAACCCACCAAAGTGAAGTGCGATCCGAACAGCGACGAAGCCAATAACGCGAATGGTTGTGGATCCGACATTGCATTTCCCTACTTTATATCTTTCTACGTTTTATGCTCTTTCCTCGTAAGTACAAGAACCCATATCGTTTGCTCTACGTGCGACAGAGAATTCGAGATCGATCGTTTCCATTCAGATCATCAATCTCTTCGTCGCCGTAATCATGGACAATTTCGATTACTTGACGAGGGATTGGTCGATCCTGGGTCCCCACCATTTGGACGAGTTTATTCGCCTCTGGTCCGAGTACGATCCCGACGCGAAAGGTCGCATCAAGCATCTGGACGTCGTGACGCTCCTCAGGAAGATATCGCCGCCCCTGGGTTTCGGTAAACTCTGTCCACATCGAGTCGCGTGCAAAGTTAGTATATCCCCATGACGCTCCTTTAATCATCCAGACCTTTGCAAACTATTTCTTTCAGAATGAAGTTTTTATAACAATGATCACGAATACTTTCAGAGGCTGGTCTCGATGAACATGCCGTTGAATAGCGACGGTACAGTCTTGTTCAACGCGACGTTGTTCGCCGTGGTGAGGACTTCCTTGCGTATAAAGACCGAGGGAAACATCGACGATGCTAATGCCGAGCTCCGTGCGGTGATAAAGAAGATCTGGAAGAGGACCAGCCCGAAGCTTCTGGATCAAGTGGTGCCACCGCCTGGAGTCGACGACGAGGTAACCGTGGGCAAGTTCTACGCGACGTTCCTCATCCAGGACTACTTCCGGAGGTTCAAGAAGCGCAAGGAGCAAGAGATGAAGGACGGCGACAAGGAGTGCCACAACACCGTCACGCTTCAGGCCGGTTTGAGGACACTGCACGAGGCTGGCCCGGAGCTGAAGAGAGCCATTTCCGGAAACTTGGAGGAGCTACTCGACGACAATCCGGAACCTATGCACAGGGTATCGATATTCGCGAGACACGAAACCGTCGGCATTGCTAGACAATTCCCGGTAATTTTTTAACGTTTTCGTTTCGCAGAGGAACCATTCTCTGTTCGGCAGCGTCTGGTCCAGTATGAGGAAGGGACACCACAGTTTCAACAGGGCGAGGTCGCTCAAAGTGAACTCTACGACCAAGGTAAACTATTCCAAATAACGAACTTGCGGATGTGTTTACGCGCAACGTCGATTCGCAGGCTTCCCCGACGAATTCCATAGACTTCCTGCCGTACTCGTCGCTCCACAGAGCGGGCGGATTGGACGCACCGAATCAGATCACCGCGAGGTCCCATCAGGTTGTGCCAAACGCAGCAGGGTTAGTTTCGTACGTGATCCGCGTTGATACCTTTTCGACGTCAGAGTAGCGCAAAATATAATTTGATCGCATTTAACCCCTTGGGATTAAACTCCTCATGATCCTTTGTAAAATGTAAAAATGTAATCAAATTACACTTGGCCCAACTCTGTTCAGAGACAGTGAAATGTTGAAACTTGAGCGCGAAACGTGCTCGATTATGTTCGTTATTTAGTGGTCTCAGCGACAGCGCGATGAACCAAATGGGAATGGATCCGAAGTTGACGGGCATAGAGGAGAACATTCCTCTGAGACCGTTGGCGGTGTTCGGAAATCCCGTCCAACAACAATCTTACCATCCCCCGTACAAAGTGGTCGAGTAAGTAGAGAAACTTTACGAATCGTTCGGCCTGGTGCCGACCAAGTGTCCGTCTCTGCGGCGGTGATCGCGACACGAATACGCTCGCGTCGATACGATTGGATTTGGAACCATCGAAACGTTCTCCCTTACGGACCATGTCTAGATTAGAACTTACGATTAAGAGATACGAGATAGCAAGGAACACGACATAGACGATACGATGTTCGAAACTAGTGGCAATAATCGTTAACGCAAAGCACGAAGTAAAGATCGTTAAAATTCATACGCTGACTTACAGAATAGATCTATAGAGTCGTTGAAATCGTTAGTAAGCATGTTCTCACGATTGATCGTTACAATTCGACCGTACGACATAGCAAAGCATGTGGTCTTAGACTTTTAGCAAGAATATCTGGACACATGACCGCAAACGCGAATAATTTTCTTTACGAGTCTAAATTATATTTGCAATTGCACGTTGGACTTGAACGTCCCCGGAAATAATTGGAAGGTAAAATCAGTACAACGAAGGAAAGAAACGATTAGATTCTACCCGCGAATTTCTATCTATCAGTGTCTCTCTACGGTCCTCTTGTTTACTATCGTACGTTTCAGTGGTCCAGGTAGCGGTAATTACCTTCATCCGAATAGCGAATATGGTAAGACAAGTTAGGGATATGGGACTTGAATATAGTTTGCTTTTAATTAATCGAACTAGCATATTTCTCGCTTGCGCGCTTGCATGCGTAACCACTAACCACCGGGATCGTCGAGTCTCCTCCTACGAGATTCTCGACGACGCGACGCGTCCAAGTGCGCGATAGTCGAACATGGTTGAGAACCGACGAGCTGTTCGCGGAGCTGAGGCGTATCGGGACCGGGTAGACCCGATTCGCGAACAATTTGCATGCCGTGTGCTCCGTTCTCCATTTTAAAGTCGCCTAACGATTCACTGGCCGACTCGGACGCTTCTCAACTCCGCGATTTCGTCGAGCGCCTCGAACCTCCGCTCTTAAGGGTCAGTCAGTTGAGACAGAGTTCCAATAGAGGTGGTAAAAGGAAGGTCACTGACTCTTTTATCCTCTCTATAAACCTCCAGAGTTTAGGGTAGCAAGGACGAACTCGAGAATCTTTTTTTAAGTACGACTTTATGAAAAATATTCGGACCTTGCTACTCTCGACGCGTAGTACGTAAGTGGTAAGGTTGAAGGTGGAGGAAAGGAGGGTTCGAGGTTCTCGAGGTTCTCTTAACAAACTAAGAGTGGTTTTTGCCCGTTTTCTGTGTGCCCGTGTCGCGCGGCTGTCGGTATGTCTCGACGCGTGTCGCCGTCGTCGTCGCGGTTGCTCGAAGCAGTCTTCAGGGCGGAATCGAGCGGCAGCTGACCCCACCGACGCCACCACCCCGAAGGAACCCACCCCCGTCCATTGCCCCGAGCACCGGCATTGCCCCGCACCCCGCGCAACTATCGTCCAGCAAGTCCGGAAGCGCCACCCCGTCGATCGCCACGTGCACGAGCACGAGCACGTCGAGCACGAACACGTCGACCGCCACGACCAGCTCGAGCCCCGGTTCATCCTCCAACGGGACGCGGTGTTACAATTCCTACGCGACCCGGAGCTGCTGCGTCGATTGTGCCGTCTGGAGTAATCACGGTACGATCCAACACTTTCTGTCTCTCTATCTTCTATCTCTATCTCTATCTCTATCATCTCTAAATCTTCTTATTCATCTATCTATCTTTCGACGTCTTCCGTCTCGCGTTAAATTCGTGGCATATATGACTTGTTCCTACGTTTGATTGCACGACAGTACAAATACGCTTCCAAACTTGAAGACCTAAGATCGCAGGGAAAAAGTTTGATCCTGAAAATACGGGTACCCGGACGAAGGACGTAGAAATTAGCTTGTCCAATCTATTCTTTTAAATTAAATCGTACGTCAAGGGTTTAAGCGTCCTCCAAACGGAGGTATCAAGATGGCGACTGGAAAGTTTCTAATTTGTACCGTCCTTTGGGCAAACTTTCGATACATTTCCGGATGCGGAGACGGTCCAAGCGTCGAGTACTCGTAATTTCGGGCCCCGGGGAGGCGGTAAATAGGATCGAACGCCAGATTCGCGTAGGTGTTAAAGCACGGTATCGCGTGGATACACGGCAGCCGTAGATCGCGAGGACGGTGAATCGTCGGCGGGGAGCGAGTTCAGCGGTTCCGGCGGCACGGGGAGTTCCGGAGGGTCTTGGAGCAGCTCCGAGAAGGTCAGACGACGAGGTGGATCCACGAGGCAGGAGTTCGCCGTGGCGTCTCGGGCCCGTGCTCGTGGTCGACGCGATCCGCTGCCCGGCAAGTCGGCGCCCCCGAGTTTCCGAAAACGCGACGCCAGCAGCAGCGTCGTCGGCGTCGGCGTCGTCGGTGTCGGGGTCGGCGGCGATCAGTCGAGCAGCTCTGCCGCGCCGGCGGGCGCAGTCGTCAAGAGAACCGTCGCCAACGGCCTGAAACTCGCCCAGACGCAGGCGATCGCCGTCGCCGGCTTCCTCGCCGATGTCGACTCGCGCCGATGCCGCGACTGCTCCTGTCTGCCCCATCGGGCCTCTTATCACGGCAGAGGTGACTAACCCACACCCCCCCCCTCCAATGCTTCGCCGTTACCTTTTCAACCCTTTCGATTCACACGACGCACACTTTGCTGGAACGCTTAAAGCAGTGGTTCTTAACTATCTCATCATCGTCCATTCTGTTCTGTTACGTTTCATCTCGTATGCTCGCTATGGCATTCACGACTCCTTGTAATCGTATTCCCAGCATCCTCGAGCGCCTTTGATCCGTGTTAGCATTGAAAGGTGTTGTTCATACAAGTTCATAATTTAGAAGTAATTTGTAACATCCAAAGATGCTGTCTCTGACCGTAGAGCTAGTATTTGAATATTTATAAAACTCGATAGTTGTGTCCCGTTGGTGACGTTAAGAACCACCGCCGAAGAAACATTAAAGAAGCGTCGAGTCCACAGAATTCAAGTTCTATGGAAGACTCTTGAACGCCTGGAGCGTGAAAAGAGATCGAACCCGTTATTGTCGGCACCGTTTCGTTTCCAATTTTCTCGCCGAGCACTACGCACGCCTATCCAAAACTCGCACCCTGCACGAGCATGATTTTTGTTTGACGCACGATCGTCGTAGATACAGTATCAGGTACGAAGAGAGACGTGGACGGGGTTAAAGCGTTGTGTATCAGCATGAAGGACACTGCGTCGCTCGAAGCATGCGTTCTGCCAAGTTTTATCGTTCGGCTAGCTCGAGTATTTAGGCTTCGAATCGCTTGTCGCGGCACGGCTGAAACCATGCAACGCTTGGCACGAATCGCTTATCAAGATCGTAGAGGCAGAGCGTAGCGCGACTAGCTTAATTCCTTGACGGCTCTCCTCGTTCGTCAGTTTCCTGGGCCGGAGAGAGTAACGGAAGCATCGGCGCAGAGCGCCTCTCCCACAGCCTTCCGGGGAGCCCCGCCGACCGGAAACCCAACTTCGAGGTGATCGGGAGCGCGGAGAGTCTCGTCGGTCGGGTAAGTCCAGCCTTCGTCGTCATCCTTCGTCTAGCGATCAGATTATTCTTCCTCCGACTTATAAAACGCTCCATTAACCCTTTGCGCTCCGAATTATATTTAAATCTTGTTACCAGCTGCTCCCAATGTTTTATTTGAAATTTATGTTAATTCAAAAATATTGTGTTTTGTAATTTTTAAGTGTGTATCTGAAGTAAAAACTGATGTCGAGTCACATTCGACATAGGAGTGCAGAGGGTTAACAGATGCCATAGCCTTTTGCAACAGACTATCGAGTCTCTAGTCTCGAGTAACGTGCTGTTCGCGAGAAGTTTACCAGGGGAGTACTTTGTTTGCTCCATTAAACTACAGTGAGGATCTAGACACCGATCAGAGCCACGTTCCAACTTCTCGCGAACGCACAGTACATCGTACATCGTACATCGATCCTATCGCTACTCAGGAGGCTTTCGATGAACCGCAGAGAGTTGTTCTCGATGTTGATTGTATTTGTTTTATTAGGTTCTGGTGGAGCAAGGTCTGGGCAAGTACTGTGACCCCGACTTCGTCAGGTACACGTCGCGGGAGATGCAGGAGGCTCTGGACATGACGCCCGAGGAGATGGACCGAGCGGCCCATCAGCTGCTCCTGCAGGAGCGTCGCGGTCAGCCGCTGACTTATCAGCTGCAGCAGGCCACGGACCAGCAATGGGCTGGTCCGCCTTATCAGCCGACCCAGCAGCCGACGGGTATCGGTTATCAGCCGCTGCAGGAGCAGCCACCGGCCGGCCAGCGACAGTATCAATCTTATTATCGCGGCGGTCAAGCGACGGTGTCGCAGCCACCGACGCAGCAACAGCAACCGCCACCATCTTAGCGACGCGACGATCCCTTCGTCGATCGTACGTTTCTAGCTCCATTGCCTAGCCGTTTTCGCGCGTCACGCGCGAGAACGCCTCCGTGAAGCAACCCCCGGACGGAACCGGGCGACCCGTTGGGTCCGTTGCTTCTGGGGACGACGACGGATTCGCCGCGACGCGTGAACTCTTTGGAGAGAACCGTGTAGGGAAGAGGATTCCGAGCGTGATCGGAAGAGGACGGGGTGACGCAAGCAATAAAGCAACGAGAGCAACGACCGATCGCGCGTCCACCGGTCCCTCGTTAGCCGGGGCGGTGGTTGTTTTTTGTATTTTGTGCGCGGCGGCGCTCGCGGAATGATTAAGACGCGAGGCGCCGATAGCCTCGCGAGGCTGGGATTCCGAAAACGGAATTGAATTCTCTAGGGACAGCTGCTGTCGGGCCCGATCGTCCCGACACGGTGTGCTGGCCGTGAACGCGTACCCGATCACCGAATAAATCGTAACGGAATTCGTACGTACGCGCGGGACGATCAAAATCCTTATCGCTCTCATTCTAATCGTAAACACTTATTCCTCCGATTATCGTTGTTAGGATAAATCGAACTCAGCGATCGCTCTTCGTACGATGGATTTCTAGATGAGATAACAAGTGCCTAAGTATCTGTAACTTCTTTCGGACCAGAGAAGAGACTTTTATCAACTTAGAACGAAGTACCGTTACCGCGAATTACGAAGCAAGTTGCGTGTTGAGTGTGTACGCTACGATAACTCGTAACGATATTATAGATAATTATTATTCGTGCGTAATTGTACATATACGTTGCGTGAGGATGAATGGCCGATTAAACGCAAACCGCCGCGAGATCCGTTTGTACAGCCTGGGTTGTGTCTATGCGCGAACGGCCGGGCGACACGCGAGTAGCGTTTCCTGGCTGCTAGATAGGGATGGGATCAAGTTCAACGCGTACTCGCGAATCCGAGTCAATTGAAATACCAAAGGTTCGCTTCGCGGATACGGATATACCAACCGACAAGACCAGTGATCTTTTGTTCGTTCTCCTTGCCGAGTACTCGGTACACGCGAGCCGACCTTCGAACCACGGAACGAATACGACTCGAACTGCGCGCGATATTCGTTCGTTTTAACCGACACTAAACGCCTCGAAGCGCCGCTTTCGTCTTTGTTTGTTCGAGTCCGTGTCGTTTAGGCTCGGGACTACTTAGAAGTACCCGCTTTTGTTTCACGAAACACTCATAGAAGACGCGAATCTATACTCGGTCCAACGGGTAGAGTCATAAGCGAAATCAAGCCTTCCTCGACCAGCCACTAGCTTCGTTGGACGTAGTATAGCTGGTCAGGATTTGAACCTACTTCTAAGGTGCTTTGTCCAATCATTAAAGCTAGGGTCGGAAGAAAATCGATCGGAGGAACCAGCCAGTTCACGATCCATCGGGTACACTCGTTCGTGTGTCGACGGTCCATTTCCGGAAACGCCTACCACTCGCTCGAATCGTTTACCGACTCTGACTCCTTTCTATCGAATGCACCGACGATTTTACTCTCTCCCACACACACACACACACCCCCAGACCCCCGGTTTTAGACTCGATTTTTACAAATTCCGCCCGAAACGAATATTTCGACTCGTATATTCTTATAGCCGCAAGAGGAACGCGTACAAGTGTGAAAGAGTGAGAGAGAAAGAACGAGCGCGAGAGAGTGCAAACACGCGTCTAGCCGAAGGTACTCTTACACAGTTTTCGACACCGAACGACGACAAATCGATCGGGAGTGGCAGCCGTTCCCCCCTTCCACGCACAAACTTCCCTCGCGAACAGAACGAACCCGATTTATCCGCAGACACCGATTTCTCATCCGATCGTGCAAGAATCTAGCGTCGCGAGGGTCACGTACGCAACGATCTACTCTAGAACTCGATGTAATTTTGTCACAGGCTAATTATAAACGTCAGAAAGTACCCGTTGAATCTCATAATACAGTTACAGAACTACCTCTGTATTTGTAGCCTCATTTTCAAAGGGATGATTCAAACATCGTGTTTCCTATTTTATGAAAACGTAAATCGTTTGTTACAATATAAATTACAAAGATCGTTGCATCCGTGGCCACTACTACAGAGATATTAAGGGGGTTGATCAACCCTCGACGGCCATCGCGAAGTCGTTGGATTTAATTGGAGAAAAGAACGCGAAAGGAACAATAAACGATTGGAAACATCCAACGGGCGTGGTTCTGCGGATGTTCAACCGCCAAATAGCTCAGTTCTTTCTTTCGAAGGATTTTCGAGGGCGCAAAGTTCCTCGATAAATCCCGAACGAAACAATCACCGTTGAATTTCTCTCGTGTACCTTGAAACGACGTCGACAATAATTTTCATCGATGACATTTCCAGAACCACGTGCTCTGGACCCCATTCTACGTTCGCCATTTTCACGGTTTATCAGGCAAGCATAAACCCCGATGTCTCCACGAAAATTGATCGATAGGTTCGCGACAAATGAAAAGTGTGCCCTTAACGCCAATGTTTATTTATTAAATTTAAGTAGAAATATCGTAGAAAGTACTGAAACGTTAATATTTTGTATTTCATAAGCGGGTGTATACTTGTTTGGCAAACTGTATCGCAATTACATCCGACCTCGTCGATTCCAATTCGTCACCGGGTACACAAATTTAATTCGAACCAACCCTGTTTTCTTTCTCGATTTCTCTAGTCCGTTCATTCCCATCCGCGATCACATTTCGACGATCTTTGTAGCTGATAGTACGTGGCATATACGCTGTCGCTCAAACGTCTGGGATCACCTATCGTAGCTGCAAATTTTTACCAGTTGCTAAACGTTCGAGTTCAACGTAGCTCACGGGGAACGAACATTGCGTTTCTTCCAAGCAATCTCTGCACAATTCGTCTGTACGTTTCGACTCGTGCTGCGAGAAAGTATAATTACGTTCGATCGTGTACACAGGAAACAATCTAACATTAATCGGATCTCCGCGATACTTGGTATTTGTAAGATTCTATTAATCTGTACCATTTTGGTGCTCGACCGTTCCCATAGAAATTCATATTTTTAACATTAAATTCTTGAATACCTACGGACGAAACTTAACAGAATATTGATCCTTTAGTTAGACGTCCTAAGAAGCAAACACTACAGCTATGTGCAAACTATTGTACCTTTTAATTGATATAAAATGGCTTCCAAAGGATAGCATTGAAACTTACAAACACGAAGTATGGCGGACATTTTTTAATACCACAACCTTCTCCGTATAATCTACGGGGAATCCCTGACTTTCGAGCAGTGGTGTATGCAATCTACTAGGGTATAAGAATGCGCTCGAACGACGCGAGCCCTTCGCCAACAAGGGAACCAAACAAACCTGACAACTATTTAAAGCAAAAAAAAAAAGAGAGAAAAAAAAAGAAAAAAACAGAAACGAACAAATCGACCGACATTTCCGTCTCTGGACAGTTTCTTAGGGGTTACGATAGTTAGAGGTGCGTGTGGTGTGTGCGAGGAGCCGTACACGATCGAGGCGAGATCGACGATGATCTAGGCGATGCGAAGAGACCGACGAAATTCGTACAAAGCGAGCGACGACACCCCTGCGACAACTCGCGCCCTGATTACACTTAATAATTGTCCTGGGAATGCTACTTGTATACATTGTACTCGACCTTTCGTATTCCTTTTTATTCCAGCGTCTTTCTAACGATTACGCGCGTCTTTGTCTATAGCGGTCTTTTTATACTGTTGTAAAATGGCGTTTACACCGAAACCGTAGAATATTACGCGTAGTTGAGGAAGAGTTCTATACCTTTAAATCGTAATAACGTCGGATTAGAGTGGCGCCCGTCGTCGCGTCTCGCATGCAACAAGACGCGTTTGGAGAGACCAACATTTTCTATGCCATGAGACTGACTTGGTTTACAGCGAGAAGGGGTGAGACACGCGGACGAGAAGGACCCCCCCTTTTCCAACGCCCTCTTCGAGCCTCGTTACGCCTTTTCGCTGCACGATCTTAGCATCGAAAGGGTTAGCGATCGAACGCGAGCGATACGCGAGAACAGGAACGAATCTGGGCCTCTGAGAGGGATTTTATCAGGGGTTGCAAAGCTTCTTTCGGGCCCATTCCCCTCTCCATCGTTCTCTCTCCATCCACCATGGTTTTACGTCACGAATTGTAGCACAAATTGCGAATGCTGGTCTTACTGAAGCTCCCTTTTTGCATCTCCCCTCTCAGAGACCCTGAAACAAATCTAGTGACTGTCGTAAACTATTTCTTTAGAATTCTCAAGATTTGTTTTAAGCAGAAACCCAAAAACCAATGTAGTACCACTGGAAAATGTAATTAAACAAAATTTGCCGTCTGAAAGGGTCTCAAGATAGTCACTATGTTCGTTTCTCCTGATTCTCCTCAGAATCGTACGATAATTCTACTCGTTTACTCTCCTAGCACGTTAGTGCACGCATGTTCTCATGGTTTCGTAAGTTTAGCAGCTTACGGCGAAGGGAACCAAGTCCAGAGTTAGGTGAATTTTATTCTCGAACGACGAGTAAAACTTTTCATTTACATCCAAAGGAAATAACAATCGCGAGCAATGTTTATTTATTGTTTGAGAATGAAATTTTACCGACTCTGACCAACAATACCGACTCGTAGTAAACCGTGAGTGTCACATTGTATCATACTCGAAGAAACCAGATATTCGAAACCTGGCTCCCATAAACTTGTCGCTTCCCGAATTCTCGAACGAAACTCGTGAATCATGCTCTTGACACGATACGTTAACACCATCGTACTCGTGGCATTCAGCTTGGGCTCTTGCTAGAGCTGTTGGAGATTTAGGGACCCACGAGAGATCTAAATCCAGAGAGAAATCCCGAACAGAGATGAGCAGAATTTTATTCGAATAACAGCTTGAATAAAAATACAATTTTTTATTCGTTCGAGATAAAATACAATTTGATTCGAATTCCAATGGTGGTTTAACGTATTAAAAATTTGTCTTCTGAGGTAAATGTCCTAATTATCGACACACTTATTGGCAATTGTCGCTTTAAATGATTATAGAAGTTTCTGGGATTATAATATGGGAAGATACACATAATGGGGAACAAATAATCTTTCACTTCTGTTAATGAAAATAATACTTTATTTCATACTTTATTACAATGTCTGAATATTCGAATACAGGTGTTACAATCATTCTAATATCGGTGTAGAAAAATTCGACAATATAATGAGAAACGTAACAACGGATTTTTAACGTTTATTTATAAAATTAACAAAACTTCTCAAAGATCCGACTATTGTTGCGAACGCTGCTATTATTTGTTTGCGATTGTATTGCGTCGTCGTGTTTACAATAACAATAATATCGATACATTTAAAGTGAACATCAGCGAATGATGAAATTATTAACGTAAACTGAAATTTGATGGTGATGGGCAAAATAAGAAAATTTATATAATAAAATTCATTCATTGGCTCTTTATTTTGCGTATGTCTATCAAATTGTTAAACCGTGTCAATAATTTCGTGGCTCGCTGTAATTTGCTGAAAATCAATAACACTTTTACCAAACTATCAATAATCGTGATGAAATAAATTGAAAGTGTCGATGACTGTGTTAAAAATTAGGTGCACTTACCTTATTCGTTGCTCGAAATTTCTATCTAAATAAGAATTCTTATCGTATCTTCGTTCGAACGGCTTGGCGGTAGACCTGGGAAAATTTGATTCTAAATAAAAAAATAAGAAATAACCTGGAACGTGCGGAGTCCCAAAATGGCGGGATTTCCGTGATTCGAGTCGGAATTTTACCAATCCCGGCTCGAGAGCCCGATATCTCGGGATCCCGCACACCCCTGGCAATAACCATTTGAAATAACAATGTTCTATATTAAAACATGTTAAATATAAATGCGACTTGTCTAAAGTCCGTTCGCTGAATGTAAGCAAGAAACGAAGAACGCCAATGTAGATCGAACAGAGACAGCGACACCAACCGTTAGTCTCTCTTCGTTCTATATTGCCGTCCTTTGTTTCATTTAGTGATTCTGCTCGGTAAACGGACTTTAAACAGTTATTACAGAATGTATAAAGAAAACGAACTTTTATAGTACCTACAATCTTTTAACGATAGCATAAACGAAATGACCAAATCAACTAGGAGAAATCATAATTCACGAAAGAACCCAAGATACTTCGTGTCGCCTCGAATATTCAGAACAGGATCTCCATGAATCTCGAACAGTTCTAGATCTCACACACGCTACACGCGCCGCTTATTTTTATTGATGCTCGTACAAATGTGACCAGTTTTGTTTTTTTTTATTAAAAAAGACACGCTCGATGCGTTCCGACAAAGAATGCATCGAAGTTGGCGCCATTTCCCTTCCGTTTTGCTTTCCGTCTTTTTGTTCGTTCACGATAAATCCATTTGTACGCCCGATAAAAAGAAAAACAGAAATCTCGATAACAGAATACCCGTGAACCGGTCGTTGGCGATCGATCGAACTGTCGAAAGCAGTCTGTACCGATAGTACAGTTACGACATCCAAGGACAATTAACGAATTATGTAATTTCGTCATTTCTACGCTAAACTTCTCGTGCGTATTACAAGAACGTGTCGCAAGTACATTCCTTGATTATCTTTCTTGTCGACATCTGTCTCGATCATTCTGCGTTATTTGTTTTCATATTGTACGTAACCGTATTGTTTGTGTACTCGACTACCGATTCTACGATCGATTGCCAACCGACTTGACGAACGAATGCTATTATAGTTTGAGAAACGATCGAAGACGAGCAAACTTTTATTCGAACAACGGATAACCTATAAGACCAACGTGTGGCAATTTATTCGAACAGTTAAATTTTGATTTTCAGTTAACGAGCAACGGATAAACGATCGTTTGCGCTGTGTTCGTTACACGAAACTTGTAATCTAGCCAAGAATTTTTGCCCATTTCTGTTGTAAATGTTCATGTCCGGGGATAACATGCTGCTTTTGCCAGTACAGGCGGTGCACGTGTACATAACCGAGTACTATCGCACATTCACGACTCTCGTTAGTCCGATAGGAATTTTACAGAGTTAAGTATCCCGATGCACAACCAACAGACACGCACACAATATATACTGCCGTTTTTCTGTTCGATTTCTGCTCCCTTTGCTTCTTACTCGAGTCCGGAGACTTTGCTCGTTTGACCCGTTCACGCGTGTCGATACACAACAATCGACAAGAATCCTTTGAAAAAAAAGGCAAAGAAACGACCACGAAAGCTCCACCGAATTAACGAGCGATAAGACTCTTGAGAACCGTTTCAAACATTTCCTACTTTTAAACGGAAACGACGATACTGTACAGGAATTGTACAGTCTCCTAAGCGCAGAGTCAAGTATTCGTTACCAGAGTTGGACAAAATTTTCATCGAATAATAAACAACCAATAAAACTAACACACGCTAATTTATTCGCGACGTTTACTCGAATGAACGTTTGGTGAAATTTTTATTTTCATTCAACGAGTAACGGGGAAGATTGTTTACCTTTTATTGGTTATTTGAAACGTTTATTTACGCAAGAATTTTGCCAATCTCTGTTTGTGTTTTAAGAAAGCGAACGTCTAACGAATTGTATAACGTGTGTTGAAACAGACGGTACAACCTAAAAGGCGAAACAAAAATCAAACACGAAATATAAGATGTTTTCGTTTCCGATAAATATTTACCGTGTCTATAGCGAAATTTATTAACACGTTAAACGACACTGCACATTCCTTTTAGGCGGTGTTGGTTCAAATTTAACAAATGATACTAAGAAATATGTTTACACCTTTTTAATGGACTTTATTGAGACGTTTTAAACAAAAGTAGGGTATTCTACTAGACTTCTATCACCGCCTAAGTGGATTTACACTAGATTTACGTACACTGATTAAACATCTTTTTATTCAAACCCAATATGTTGACAATTACAGTTAGGATATATGTTCATTCGTTACATCGATCAAATTCAACATAAAATGCTAACACATATTCATGAGTTCTCTAATTTTATGTACAAAACCTGAAACTCGTCGAATTAACAGGTTTCGTAAATCTAGTGTTAACGTGTTAATGAAAGAATTTTCCTCGAACTCGGAATACAAGTTTTCATACGTATCTCTGATTGCTTTATTTGCGTGGAATTATTTCCTTCCTGGTTGTACTATACTTGTTCGCGAATAACCTCGTTATCATGAGAAAGGAAACGTTACGTTCGCAAGAAGTAAAACAATAGAATTTATTTGTTTGTACGAATGGGTGAAACGAACGATCGCGAAACACGGAAGACTTGGTGTTTATGTTTCTTACGATGGAATTGCGGAAAAAACACGACCACGAGTCGGAGATTCCGAAATTGACTCATAGCCGCTAGGCTCACGCTCTACGGAGATTATAATTATCTTTTCTGCTTTCTGTTATTTGCGATTTTGAAGGCCGACCGATCGATAGGTGGATGTTGCGTACGAGCAATTTTCATACACGGAAATAGAAACCGTAAATGCATGCTGCTTACAACGGTGCTCAACAGTTTTGGAAAAATGAGGAAAAAATCATTCGAGATTCTACTCGAACGAGAGTAAATAAAAATTGAAACCTATCGATCGATCGATGAACCAAATGCACGAATAATCTGTCATATTTTTTTCTTCGACGAACCAATTTTCACGTCCGTTTTAAAACCGAAAACGTAAAACGCAAGTTTGGTAAAACGAAATGTTTAACACAGAGAGAAAGAGAGAGAGAGAGAGAGAGAGAGCATTCAAATGTTATATACATGAATGTGCATGCGGTTCCAAGAGTATGCGAACGAGATTGGCGGAGACGACGAAAGGAACTGCATGGGCACGGTATTTGCTGACTAGAAAAGAAAAACGAAAACTAACAGAAAAAAGTTGTTGTTGTTAATGTTGTCAAAAAATGTGTCAAATTAAAATATAAGGATTTCAAACATCTCACGCTGCTGGTTTTATGTCGAGAATGGAGGTCGAGTAACATCGCGGTTTTCGAAATATCATTCGTCTTTATTTATAAAGTAGGATGCGTACGTTTTCGTCCTCGACTGCGTTCGCTCTGATATACCGTCGTATATTACATTACTTACAAGAAATCCCGATCGCTCCGGTCGCGAAAGGAACGATGCACGAAGGAAAACGAAAAAGAAGAGGAAAGAAAATGTATTTCCAAGAACGTTAACTCAATCCTCGGGGAAATGACTTTTCCATGCGGTTAACGGTTTGCCACGAATGTATAGTCGGTTGGGTGCAGCGATTGTTTCGACGCGTGTAAATAGCAAAAGATTCCTAGCTTGTTACAAACTGTGCACATACAAACTAAAGCAAGGCACAGGTATATACAATAGCTGGCATTCCGGTGAAAGCTGAAATTCATCCGTTTTCCAAACTCAATGAACATTTTCCTACCCGAAATGATTCGCGAGGTCGCCTGAATATCGAGTTAGAATAAGTTAGAAAAAAAATTTTTCATTTTAAAGATCGACTAATATTATTTCATCACTTGCGCCGCCTTTTTCGCCTTGACCAGTTCCACCAGCTCCTGCAACGCAAATACAATCGTGTCCGTCAACTTATCGAAATACACGAAAATGGGTGGACGTGTCGTTGTAACGTTTCTTTCTATCAAACGTACCTTATACCTTCTCATACATTCCTTTTTCGTCCTAGTCGGTATGCACGCTGCGATTTGGTCCCATCTATCGGGCACGGTCGTGGGATAAGTTTTCAAAGCTTGCTCCAATAGTTTCTGCTCGGCTGGTGTCCATGGCTGGGGTTCCTTTTTCGCGTCCTTTTGCTCGGTAGCGATACCGTTCGGTATAGGATGATCCAAACGTTCCGTGACAGCCGGCATCCGATCCTCGACAGACTCCTTGGCCTTTTTCTCCGCGATGAAATTGTCGAAGGCTTTCTTGTTCGCCTGCTCTTTCAGACTAGACTTGCTGAAGTCCGTTGACTGCAGATCTTTAGCCTTCGCGAGTACTTCCTTCGCGTCGCGTGTCACGCCGGCGGAAGAGCTGCTGTGTTGATTAATGAAATTAGCCACCACCTCCCAGCGTTGATTCGTTCCCGCCGGAAACAAGTTCACGGCTTTTATCAAAAGTTGTATGTCGTTTTCGTTCCACGGAGCCACGTGAGTCTTGGCTTGTTTCTCCGGCGTGTTTCGCGTGTCGTTGGATATAACACCGATTCTACGCTCGGCCTCGATCTTCTTCTCAGTTTCCTCCACAATGGTGAGGAACGCCACTCTGCCATCTGCTTGTATCTTTTTCATAGCGTCCTCCAGTTGAACGAGTTTGAACAGCTCGCAAATCTTCTCCACGCTCTCCATGTGCCTGATACTCTCCGCCGAATTCTCCGCGAAGTAGTTGTTAGCTTTACAGAGATCCCTCAAAGCTTTTCTCTCCTTGCGAAGTGCTTTCTTCTGCACCTCTCTTTCTTGCTTGAGCGCATCCAATTTCGCTTTTTCCTCGATATCTCGCTTCTCCTTTTCCACCCTTTCTTTCTCAGCCGCGTCTCTCGCCACCCTCTCCTCCTCCTGCTGTCTCGCCTTCGCCGCTTCTTGCTTTGCCTTTTTCGCCGCCGTTTTCTTGTCCTTCTCCTCCTGTTGGAACTTCTTTATTCTAGGGTCTATATTGTAAGCCATGTCGACGAGGCTGCGAATACGCGTCATTTCCTCTTTCTTCCGTTTTGCTCGCGTAGCCTTGTTCTTCTTCTCGATCCACTTACGCATATCTCGACTGAACAGACAATTGCGGTCCATTGAAAAGGAGATCAGAAAATGCTAAAGTATCGATTAAATTCACGGGGAAACACCACCTTTACGGTCTCGAAAGGTGGCGTTTCTCCTTAACGCTATTATACTTACTCTTGACCGCTTTCTTTGTCTTCCTCGTCCAGGTAAGAGTATTCGCGCCACGAGTCAAAGTCGTACCAAAACGAGTAAAACTTTTCTACTTTGTCTCGAGGCGTATCCGGGCCACCCAAGCGCGGTACAGGCTTTTTCACGGACCACCTGGCGTTCTCTTTAAACGCCTTGCCCATTATTATGTAAAAATTGTTTTTGCAGTCTTTCTCGTCCGGTAAATCGTCGTTAAAATAAGGGTCAACGCTGTCGTAACTCCGTCTCTTCATAGTGCTACCCAATGTTTCCCAGGCTCGTGTAATGCAGGTGAAATAATCGTCGTCTGGCCGGATTTCCTCGCCCATCGCCTTCCGCTTATCAGGATGATGTTTGAGGATTTTCTGCTTATCTGTAATTCATACATTAAATACTCCTCAACCGCGTTAATCGTAGCATCGGTCAAGATAGCGAACGATATAACACCTACATTCCTTTACAGAGTATACTTTGAACTTTCTTTACGTACAAGCCCTTTTTATAACATCTTCGGTCGCTTTGTGTCTGAGCTTTTTCAAGCCTAAGACAGCATAATGATCTTGATCTTTCCACTCCTTCGGATCCAATGACCTCAGGTACTCGAGGTCATCTTCGAACTGATATTGGGAATAGTCTTCTTCGTCCGAGGACTCCGATATTCTGGTACGTGTAAGACTGCGGTGAAACTGCGCTGCCCATGCTTGCGCCGTTGAATATAGGATAAGGGGACCGGCTGTGCTCGTTTCCACCTTGGATGAATCTGTGAATTAGGTATCATGAACGATAAACAAATTATTTTTTATGCTTTACGTACATTTCATGTATTACTTTACCATGCAGACCCGCGTTTATATGTATAAATATACATATACGTAAAAATGTGTTATAGCCGCCCGACCGCGTGGTATATACGAGAACAGTTAAATATTCGTAATTCTAAGGTCACCTCTATAGCTTTCTGAATAATATTTTACAATTAAAACGTTCCTGATTATCCATGTGTTTACTGCAGAGACTTTTACGAGGCACAAGTACCAAGTCCATATATTCGAAATCTTTTTAACGAAATCCTTTTGTCTGAGGAAAACCATTGTGCTTCGAGATATTTAACCTCACATGGCCGGTGTCAAATGCTGGACGTTAATGGGAACACGAAAACTTACCCGATATCGTATTGAAAGCAGTCGTATCATCATTACCCGTACCGTCTGTCATTATTCGCTGTTAATGAGCTGTTATTTTCGCACAAATACTACTAGAAAAGTCACAGCGAAAACATAAGCGACGATACTATATTAGTATCGTCCTGCGAACATCTCGGTCGGAAACGAGCGGGTTACTTCGAAGTTTCAGCTCCACGGATATATTATAGAGAAATATATTAACTACTCGACCTAAAAATATTGAACATTCGATGTTTATCTAATCGTCTAAATAATATGTTTATTATTTATAACGTGATTGGAACTTTCAAGTGTATTTGTGCAAGATGGGTTTATTGAACGATAAAAAGCTGTATCAATGTCATCTTGCATAAGGCTATAGCAATGATCATTTTATTCAGACGATGGACACACGTGTAAATAGGGATTGTTGCATGTACGTACAGAATGTTCGTATATAATATATAAATGTTATTTATATAAAATATGCAAAATATTGTTTAAATGCATCTTAATTTTATGAATGGTACAAGGGGGCAAATGAATAAGTCTAACGAGCTACACCACCCATGTTTTCATCCGTTTTCGTCCACCAATACTGCCATTTAATTTATAAGTATAAGAATATTGAAAATAATAAATTAATATTCTATATTCCTTTAAATTATTATGTTAAATAGATTCTGGTACCAAAATGTTACTAGAAAGTGTCGCTAGTGTTGCATTTCGCATTACTGTCGAATTTGCAACAGCAAATCCAACGTCGTTACAAATATTATGGTTTCGTGTCATGATTCTCAGGTCTCATGACCAGTGTGGCCAGATTTTGGCATAATCGAGTACATCGACGACGACACTACCTACAGAGTGTGGTAGGATATGTCGTCTTTCCCCACGACTTCGTTAGATGCTAAGGATGTTCGTCGTTACTAGCGTCGCCGTCGATGCACTCGATTATGCCAAATCTGGTCACACTTTTATCACTGCCATGACTGCAGTGTGACAATTTAGATGTTTTGTCAACAAACTTTATCATTTCATAAATAATAATAATGTAGTAGATGAAGTATAATCTCCCATACAAATTCCACTCTTTTAGCATAGGGACATCGAAGGATCCTCGATCAAAGAATCAAATTGTTATTTATTAAATATATATCATTGAGTTATAAGAATATATTTTCATACATTTAGTCGCATATATCACTGTGAAATGACAATAATCTGATAATTGCTTCACGATATTTAAAGTTTAAAATAGGTTACTCGTCCAAGTATCGAATTACTATTTATTAAACGTACATCGTAGCATTTTAATTTCGAGCTTGAATTCTGATACATTTAAACATTTGCATATTTTGTTTAAATGGTATATAAAAATCTGTTAGAATGCGATGTTACATATTTACTAATAATTTGTTGATTGTATTGGCAAACCTATTATAAAGTTTAAATAAAACCATGCAGCGTGTATCATCTATGCAACGCTATTTAGGAGCATATTGGGAAAAGGAAGGGGTAATAGGACTCGATGACTTTCTCTTCGCGCAGCATTCCATAACACTGAGCTCGCTCAGTGTTAATATCAGGCCATCTCGTAATTTTGTACTAAAATTTAAAGCAACGTTTCAAATATACTACTGAATATTTATGAAAAATTGTAACAACTTGGAAGATCATTGTAGTGGTTCTTGTTTAACAGTCCAGCAATGTTTTTACCGACGATTGTTGTATAAAATCCATTGTGCACGCTGTTATACGTTCAAGTAGGTTCCACTCTAAAAGCTAGTATAAAACGCATGTTTTTCTCCTTATCGTCGTCAACCTTAAGGACTACGAACGGCATGAACTTAGGGGATGACCTAATATGTACGCGATTAAGCTTATTTAAATATGTATTTGTGAAAATATGGTATACAACGCGTGAAGAAATTCCCATGTAAATCTTTAAAAATACAAACACTATCGTATTAATAATTGATTTTGTTAGGATCGTACTTTGGACGGAGATTAATGTTTTTTTTGGATAAAACAATGACGCTCTCTATTGGGAAGACTAGGGGAGTATTCGTATCTTTCTTTTCCGACGTTTCAAAGCGGTTGGCACAAATATCGCGCCTTTTCTTTACCCTTTAAAACATACAAACCTTACGATAAAAATATCTCGTTCGAGCGATAACAAAATACTACAAGTTGTATAGAAATTTATACAGTTTAAAAAAAAAGCAACGAGAACTACGTGCAAATTACTTAAATGTTACGTTATAATTATGAAACGAGAATAAATTAAAGCGCGTGGACTACAGGATAGTCAGTTGCACGACAGCAGTCAAACATATATAAACTGATCGAAATCGGTTGAACGTGTGCTATATGTAGTTATTACTAATTACGTTAGCAGACGTAATTAACCTCGACAGCAGGGAACATCGCGGGCGGAAGAGCGATCAATTAATTATCTATTGGTGTCCAGGTGCCGACAGACGTCTCTGCGACTGGTATGGATTTTGCAATAAACGTGGCGAACATTCAATTACTCGCAGTAACAGCGCGTCTATGTAATCTTCCAAGTCGGTCAGACGTTTCTTCTTGTCCGATACTTCCGCCTGCAGCTGCAGCGTCAACTCTATCAAATCCTGCATTTACAAAACACAATGGAGTGAAAATAAAAATGTTATACAAGATGTTCGGTTACTACTGGCGATCCTAGAAGATGAAGAGGCGAAAATAAGACGAAGATCAAGAGTATTCGTCTTATTTTAGCCTATGAGATCACCTTCTAAAAGGATCACTATTAGTAGTCGAATACTTTCTAAAGGATAGTAGTAGTTGCGATTACCTCTCTAGATTTTCCTTCGAACTGTGTAAGAACTTCGTGCGGCAGGTGACTTTTCAATAGAGCTGTACTTTTAATAGCATCCTCGCCACCGATAATGATTCTCTCCGAAGATAAGTGATTATCGTCGTTCAACTCTTTCAGTTTATTCTCTTTCTCTTTTTTCTTATCCTTTCGATGTTGTTTCTCGTCCTTGGGGCTCCAGCAGCTGTGTTTATCGTCCTTCTTATCTCGGGATTTTTCCTCCTTTGCGCTCTTTTCTTTGTTCGAGGTAGATTTCTCGTCTTTGTTCTTGGACTGGATGATTTCACGGGGCGCCGGAAGCGGTGGCTCCTGCGTGTCCTGAAATCTCAGTTTCGCCGAAGGTGAACTCGCGGGCGACGGTTCCCGATGATTGTCCTTTGGCTCGTCGATCACGATCTTTGGACTCGACTTGCTCTCCCACCTGCAAACACGTTTCAATCGTCCCGATATACATATACGTCGGAATTCTTTCCCCGATATTCCACGCGTCGGAACAAATATTTAATCTATCCGCCGATCAGGTGTAAGTCCACGGAACCGTAACAAGAATGTCATTAAAATTCATTCGTCTAAAAAGCATTAATTAGCATTAATATAGAATGCATTTCATTTTACAACCAGCGCGACTCGCATAAGTCAATATCAGAAGACAACAAAAATAAATAAAAAATTTCCTTTTTCTTCCACGACACATTAAATATACAATCGTCCGGTGGTGGATCCAGGGGAGGGGCGATCGCCTCTAAGAGTTATGAGATCTTAATAAACTATATTTATTGTCCATTTTACATTACATTCTATAAACATTTTTGAGTAAGCACTTGTATAAATTAAAATATTACTAGGTAAATTGTAGACGAATTTCAAATCGTGCAAAAGGAGCCTGGCAATATCTTAAGCAAGCCTGTTTGAAATACGGTGCCTCGCGAGTTAAAAAAAAGAAAATGAAATAGTTATTTGAAAACAAGTATCTTTCTATCAATGTACCGACGTAGTCTTATAAATAAATCCGTTTCCTTATCGTTGGATAAGGGAGGCCGTGTTCTTATCCGTTTGCTTACGTCCGTGGAAACGGTCGCTTTCTTTTCAATCTTACGTATGTTTGCTTCCGATATAACGGTGCAATGACTGCTGTTGGTACGACTGAAAAATGAGCTTTGAATTATTTTTGTCCGTGACGAAGCCATTGTACTATCGGGAGACTAGATGTTGGGGCACCAACCCCAAATTAAATTACACAAATGGAACTTAAGTCGATCACTTCTTCGGTTCATCGCGCGTGACATTGGCGTAGCCATATACTCAGAGGTATCGACGTGACTTTCAGCCATCAAAGCGTGAAATGTTTTAGTGAAATGTTTTATTTACCTTTTAACGTTGTTGTGTGATTGTTTTCCGTACAGCTTGAGACCCCACTCGTCCTCTTTCGCGTGGCCTATCTTCGATAAGGACGTGGTGGAAGAACTCATGGAGAATCTGGGAGGTTTGCTGGGCGCTGCATTGTTTGGTGCCGGTGGTGGATGATGGATGTCGTTGGAATTATTACCGGAAGATACGCTCGACGCTACCGAGCCCACGCTGTTACTATTTCCGCCGAGTACAGGCGTGTTCAAAGACGATGCGGAGCTCTTATGCGACAGATCATCGAACTGAAACAATACAACGCCAATTTTAGAAATTTTTAAACTCTTTTCTAACATTCTTGTTACTTTTTGTTGCAGAAACTATACCGTGAATTCGTCCTCGTCCTCGCTGATGACGCCAGGATCGGCTTCCCCCGGTTGCTGTCGCGTGGCTCTCAACTTGTGCTCCTCTTTCTCGTCCAGGTTGTCGGCCTTCTCCAGGTTGTGTTTACTTTTCCCTTTTACGCGGTTCCCGATCGATTTCGCCAATTTCTTCAAGCCTTTACGCTTCTCGAAGCTTCCTATGCTGAGCAGACTTCCGCCGATCGAATGTGCAGCCGTGGACAGCTGTCCGAGGGAACTTTTGTGACGCTCCTTGTGGCTCAGATCGGTCAGGCTGCCGGCCTTCACGATGAAACCGATCTTCACCTCGAGTTCGCCTCTCTCCTTCGTATTCTCCTTGCCTGGTTTACTTCCAAGGGTATACCTGAAGCATCGTTAACAAATTTATTAAAGAGGCACACGCGTAAACGACAGTACTTATTTTATTTGGAAGCAATATAGCGCTGTATTATTTTCTGCGATCGTTGTTCGCGAATAAAATTTTGTTGGGCCGCAGAGAACTTTCTTCCAGCGGATCTTTCCTTTCTCTTTCTCATTTAGTTAGGGAGACCGGTGAAAAAGCCAATTATAAGACGTATATTCATCCAACGATTGTTACAACTTTCCAAGCCACCTGACTCACATACTACTGTAGACCTTCGCTCAAGATACTTTCCTAATATTTATATATGATATAATACGGCGTTTTATTAAAACAATTTATTTTCAGGTGATCCGTGGGAAGTGCTCCATCCTTCATACTCCTCGCTGAAACCTTCTTTCTGAAAATATAGATAGACGACGAGCTTCTGCAGTGTCCTCGTTAGCTAGCCCGTAAACGAGGCGAGTATCATCCCACTCAATTTTAAAGTCATCGTGATAACACTGTCTTAACTATGAAACGTTTAGACTCAGACTTGGGTACATACTCGTTGCGATATACGATGCCTTCAATGCCAGGGAATATACTTTACTACTTTACCTACTTTCAACAGAAAAAATGTAGATAACTATTCTCAGGGCTGTCACGAGGCTCACGAGGGCCATGTTATTTTCTTTTGCTAATTTTCAGTAAGCGGTTGGTGCGTTAAAAAGATATTCTAATCACGTACCATCTGTTCCTAGGTCTCTCGTAGACGTCGAAGCTGGACAATGGTATACTGATGGTGCCGAGGAACTCGTCGACACCCAGGAAATTACGATGGAGGGCTGTCAGCACTATTTCCGCGGTGTTTCCCTGCTCCGGGATAATTAACTCGCATTCTTCGTGCCATTCCACGTCCCTCGGCGCCTTCTCCTTCACGGACGTTTGGTACTTCTCTTTCCCGAGGGCGATCGTCACGAAACAGTCGTTGGTTTCTGCGTTATTAGATTCAAGTGATTTAATGTAGGTGGAAAGACGGTCAACCGCAAGGTCAGGATTAACGAGATACATAACGGGAATTAAATCTCGCGAGAGACGGTCGAGATCCCATTGTACACTTATTGCCAGCATAAATTACTTCGTCCAAGTCCACGACCTCTCGGCGCGATTCGTGTCCCTTGCACCGAAAGACGATGTTAATCGATTTTAGATCGATCTTTGTCCGTTGTATTTTAAAGTAGGAGTCTCATTCGAATGATAGAAAATTGAACCATTTTTAAAAATTTTTTTTAAGGAAACGTTACGATTCATTTTTGCAGTTTACTTAGCTATCCTTTGGGAATACAAAATAATTTTTTTATTAAGTTTTATTAACTTTTAATGTTGTTTCACGTCCAAAATAAGACGAAAATCAAGAATACTAATTTGTTGATGGAGGCTTCATTAAAAAGTTATGTACTGAATTTTTTTCTCGAAAATGCATATGATTTCGGGGATATGTCTATTCACCAAAAATGATTCTAATTGATCCCAAAATACAAAAATAATTTTTTCAGAACGATTTGAAATTTTTTTTTCCGTCGAAAAATTTCACACATTCTCGAATTTTTTTCTCGAAAATGCGCAAGATTTCGGGGATATGTCTATTCACCAAAAATGATTCTAATTGATCCCAAAACACAAAAATTATTTTTCCAAAACGATTTGAAATTTTTTTTCCCGTCGAAAAATTTCATACCTTCTCGAATTTTTTTCTCGAAAGTGCGTAGGATTTTTGGGGTATGTGTAATGACCAAGAATGATTGTAATTGACCCCCGCAACCGAAAATAATTTTTCCAAAACGATTTGAAATTTTTTTTTTCCGTCGAAAAATTTCACATTCTCGAATTTTTTTCTCGAAAGTGCGTAGGATTTCGGGGGTATGTATAATGACCAAGAATGATTGTAATTGACCCCCGCAACCGAAAATAATTTTTCCAGAACGATTTGAAATTTTTGAATTTAATTGTTAATAACTTTTTAACGAAGCCTCCATCAACAAATTGGTATTCTTGATTTTTGTCTTATTTTGGCCTCTAGAATCCTCCATTAAAATTTTTCCCTTAAAGAAAATATGCGTGGTTTACGGAGTACCGTTTGAGGAGGGTTTGGCCAAAAGTTGACACCAATTCCATTCCGTTCGAGTAACATACATTAGTCGGTTTATTTAACAACTCGTTCTTCGAATTCGACGGATTGCATACGTATGTTTCTTTGTGCGATGGTACATTTTGTTACGCGATACGGGGGGATTACGTACGACCGAGTTTGTTTTTTGCAAGCTTCGTGAAATATGACTTGTATACGTAGGCAGAGCAACGTAACGTCGAGAAGCACAAATTCAATTTCCATTGTTTTGAAATTTGACTCACTTCGATGAGCGTATAAATACGGGCAAGGTCGTCTATCGCGTCATGGCTATACGTATACGTATGTCGGTAACGGGCCAACCATGAATACTTACTGTGTTTTCCTTTGGTCAATAAGTTTCTCGCTCTTTGAACTGCAAACAAAGAAAAAGTCTAGTTAGTCGTTGGCGAAACACGATTATCGATCATCTAATGGTACATGAGTAACACTTTCGGTTGTTTGAATTTATAAAATCTCGATTCAACGAACCAATTTGGCGCGGGTCTGTTATATTTGAAATCAGAACTGACCTGACGCATTTTTTTATATCAGCAAAAATAACGAAGATATTATGCTGACGATGTATCAAAATGGTGGGGATGTATCAGAACAGTGGAATTCAGTGTATGTTTGCGAATTCTCCTCGGGGATTCGAAAACAAGATAAATAGACGTAGGCGTAACGGCGGATCGATCTTTCGTTGTGTTCAGCATGTGCGATAAAACGTAAATGCGATTCGTTCGGACCGTGAAGCTCGAAGATGCAGATTATGATAAAGCTGAGCTAAATTTCGACAGGTTATTAAGATCGACCGAGAACACTCGGTTGTTTTTCCTCCTTTGTACATAACAAAAGTTTCTCTTTCTCTTGAGAGCGGCTTTCAGAAATTTAGGATAATGTTTTGTAAAATCGCGTCATGGCTGGCGAACATAATCACGCGCCTTCCTATCGCGGTAAAAGCGTTGAACGTATCGGTTGTTCCCGCCCATTATTCGTCGGCATTCTTACCGCGAAACCGCGACTACTTCCACCTTCATTATTTTCAACCACCTTCTGTGATATTACTTTTTAGTAGACGCAACGTCGAGCAATTCTATGCTTTGTATTTACGAAATAAATGCATAGTTTCATACGTGTTGCATAGTTGCAACTAATTTCGATGGTTAAAACGCGGGTATTCGTAGCGAAAAAATACACTTGCCCTTTTGCATCCCTCCTCTAGGTGGCAGCACTGCATTCTACGTTCCGAATAACACGATCTTCGTGAAAAAAATATCAAACGCTCGTATTACCGTTTCATCTTCGAAGCTCGTGAATAATACTTATAATTACGCCCGGCCTCGAAAACCAACGCACAGTTCAGCAATTAATCTTACGTAAGAACGTTCGTTCCTTCGCGTTCATTGATTCTTTCATCGTAATGTTACGTGGAAGAATTTTGTTCGATCCAGAACTGACGTCGAGCGAGACGTAGATTTCAGAAAGGCGGAAGTGGAGGTCCTCTCGCGTGACAATGTCAGACTTTTCTCCGCAGAACCGGTAAAACAGTTTCGGACAAAAGGAATTAAATCGTTCCCCCCGTACTCGTGATTCATGGCCGCTAGACTCATCATCGTTCCCCAAACTAAAATCCATCGTGCACGGAACAGGTTCGATTAATTGCGATCGTTCCCAGGCTTGATACGAAATGTATCGTTTTTCCTCCGATTTCACGTTGAATAAAATCTACTTGTTAGCTGGGAAAATCAACTCTCTCGCTGCATTCTTCCACGACTCGGTTAGACGAGCTGCGAAGCATTCGCCACGGCTGCAGCCAAATACCGTTTCCTCGGAAAAGAACATTCTTAACGGTCCGGAATTGCAGCTACCGCGCTGATTAAGTTGGAACACTTTTTTATGGCAACAAACTAGAGGCGTACGGTAATTGGAAAATACTTCATCAAAGATTAATAATCAACAACAATATCGAAGTTACTAAAATAAAATACCGAACGTACAAAATAATAATTTTGTTTAAAGAGAAAACATAGCAGACGCAGAAAAAAAAAATGGTAATTTCAATGAAAAGTTTCCATTCCTTTTCATCGAACAAAATCTCTAAACTCAAGAAGCGAAACGTACGTTTAAAAACGGTTTACGGATTGTTGCAAGGGGAGAGAGGTGTCTAGGAGGGAATACCGAAAGGTTCCAGGTGATCTTGCTACGATCCTGGGCAGAGGACTCGTGCACACGAACGGAAAGGGGGACATCAGCTGCTCTACACATGCTTTCACACGCTACCTATTTTGCATGGAAACGAAAGCGTTAAGAACTTGTCAACCGACATCCGAGCGCGTTAAAAGGTACAAACTTACTAAGAAACTCGCCAGGGGAAAATTGGAAAATGGATATAAAGTATGTGGGGCATACGATTCGGTACAATAACGCTTTTTCGAAGTCGAAACGTTTCGTGCGTGTTTATCGGGCGATTTTGATCGTGCGAAACACGCGAACCAATTTTCAGAAGTTGAATCATCTTGTATCTGGGGCGCGGAGGATCGCGGGTGTTTTAAATACACTGTCCTTCTTGGCTCGTCTCGGAGACGTCGCAAAACCCAACTATGACACGATGTGGAAGAATGCGCGATTTCGAGGCGATTAGGAATGCGCAAATTCGCGCCCCGGTTCGTGCATTCGTGCGATGAAACTGTGCGCATGCAAATGCCAGATCGCTATCGTCTCTCCTCTCGATTAAACGATATTCGTGATTCGATTTATCTATCGCGTCACGGGAGGTTGCGTTTCGACTGGATGGAAGTTTCCTACGACGATTGTTGCCTCTTTGCATCGGTAAAAGTCACACCGGGACAAATCGTGCGGTTCGTATTCCGATCCAAATCGACCGCTTGAAGATACTGTCTGTTGCGGCGATCGAGGTCGCTCGAGTACCGTAACGCGTCATTCGTATTCTAAAAAATAATGATTAGACGAGACAACGCGATAGATTTATCGACAATAGTATTCTTTCGTTAAATAAGTTCCCACAGTGGCGTAACGAGATTGCGAGGCTTCGATCGCCTACATTCGACGGCGTGTATACGTAACCTAGCTTATGCGTAATTGGTTTACGGTACATCTGCTTCCGTTCGAACCACCTGCGCGCCAATCGTCCATTCATTCCGTCGCGTTTGTATTTCGGGCCACATTTTAACGCTTACCTGTCACTTGGACGTGCGTCGGGCTCCACATTTTACTCGATTAGGTCACAGGCGTTCGGTTCGAAATATTCATCTGTTGTTTCTCTTGCGACGTACCGATCTACGTAACGGTGGGTATCGCGACGCCGGCTGCTGACATTACGCGTCGCGTTATTCACAGGGTTCACGCGTTACGGAAACGTGCCACGCTGCAACGAAATATTCACTCGGTGCAATGTATCAACGAGAACTATACCTCGCTGCTGTTCGAACAACCGCTACGTCCACCTCGCGCATCGCGCACCATTACGGTAACTACGGCGCATTCGACCTCGCGCATCCACCACACTTATGCCTCAGGAACGTACGACTCCGTCCGGGTAACCCTGCGCCAAGCAACATATTTTCGAAACAAATTCATTTATTCCACGAGACATTTATAACCCGCGACGAGGAGGAACAGAACCACGTAACATCATTGTTCGTTGTTTAATCCACTTGCGATTGCTTGCATGGCCAATGAATACGTTATGTGACACTGTTAGCACGAGACAAACAAAATGCTAATTTATTCGATTCTTTTTATATGCAGTGGCGGCTCGAAAAATTTAAGCTTTATATAGGAAATTGCAAGCGTAAACTTCATATAACGGTAAATAACTTTTGATACATTTTTTGATATAACAGTTTTTTAGTTTCATTCGTCGTACGCGTCGATAATTTCGTTATGTAAGAACGTACGAGGAATAATTACTTCAATCTCGACCTTGGATGATTTGAAACGAAAATTATTTCAACAAAACGTTTAAAAAAAAAAATACGCAGTATGTTTATTTGTAATTAATCAAAGTATGAAGTTGCGGTGAATATAAGCGTGGAACGACGCGCCGATACGCCGTATAATCATTATCATTCGTCATCGGTAAGATACAAGGATACACGGGCAGAAATTCAACGACCGAGTATGTGTGCACAGCTCACGGAATTATGTAGCTAATACCTGCACAAACAATATCTAATGGCAATTAATTTCTTATGGATTGTTTTGCCAATAATTGTTACCAATAGCTCAAACGCGATCTTCTTTTTTTAGAATATTAAACGGTAAGAAGCATATAAACGTTTATTACATTTAATTATAAATAAGTGGCCAATGATTATACGTTCGTATACCACACGATCGTATTCTTTCGTAAATCGTCGAAGAAAGTCTCTTGCATTGTGTGTCGTTTGAAAATAATTTTAGGTAGTTGGACATTGTTCTTACGCTTTCACTATTCTCGCAAGTGTCATGCTGCTCAAGAAATAGTGGTACATGCAGCACCGTGACAATAGCGATAGGAATTTATATATTAGTAAACAATTTAAAATTCAAATAAACCAGTTACTACGCAATAGATATTCGAACGTTAACGTAGCTGAGGATTGTCGAGAGAGCGGAAGCGGTGAAGCTGATAGCTGCATGATCGAATGCACGCGTTGCCATAATCACGGCACATTGGTATTCTTACGATTTCATAACGATGTAATGTTAACGCAGGACTGATTCGCAAATCATAGGTGCGCATCGGGGATTGCTAAAGCTATCTGCACTTACGTACGTAAACTGCTACATAAATGTCATCGATACAACGCACGAATTGCCACGATTATAATATTTCGCGATTTATCAGTGTTTTATCATTAAAACGAAATTGCTTATCAAGAGAGGTATATGTCATTTTATAAATATTGGGAGATTCTATGAATCGAGCGTTGCACCGTTTCACATTTATTTAATCAGAGATTCGTCATCCTTACGTTATCGTACGATTTTACCTTTCTTTATCGCGATATGCGCACTTGTTTGTTACGATCGCGACGGTTATTTGATTACATCACGTCCTCGATTGTAGGCCATCTACTTTTCATCCCGGCCGTAATAGCAATTTGCGTGATTTCGTGTACCCGTGATTTCCTATTCATTCTTCTATCGATGGCTACGTCGAGCGAATGGACGAAATTTTCAACTCGTCCGTTATCGCGATAAATCCCGAGAACGAGGTCTATAAAATGCTGTCTCGCGCTACGAATTACCACCTCTTGAAACGCGAAACCTTATCGCCAACACGATACTCTATCTCGGTTTGAAAATTTACCGCAAAAGTCGATGTTCGGTCGTAGTTAGAGATCAAAGTGCATTCTTCGTTCGTATATACGATGAATATCCATATGTAGATAATACGAGTGTACGCGTGCAGGGCCTGCAGGTAACAGAAAGTATGTTCGACGAGTAATAAAAGCGAGCCACTATAACAACCAATAAAAATATGTCAACGAATAAAGCGGTATAAGGTGATTTCTTGCAAAGATTTGACGACGAACAACGACGTGTAATCACCTGTTTTCCTGGCCCATTCTCGATCATTCAAAGTCACCTATTGTCTGTTTCATGTATTGTCACGATTTTCTGCTGCAAGAAGCATGACCGCGATGCCTGATTCATTCCATCTGCGCTAACGTGCCCATGATTCACCAAACTCGCACCGCGCAACAGGTGTCTGGCTTTTCTGTTCTTCCATAAAGTAAGCATGACGAGTAATAGCGTTTGAATTAGCACGAATACAGTTTTGCGCCAATGTATACAAACACATAGAGGTTGCCCTGCATAGATGGGCAAAATTGTATTCGAATAACTCATAGAACTGCACAAAATAAATTCAACGTTTTTTGCTCGGATGGTCAAACAAAGAATGTAAAGAAAACAACTTACGATCTATCGTTAGCCATGGGGTGGATCAAGATACGAGGAAATCTTCACATTTTTGGCGGGATCATGAACCAATGTAAATAACTTTTGTTTTTGTTTTTTCTTTCTTGAGTAGGTTGAGTCTTGGTCATAGATGTACGTAAATTTCTCTGATTCGTCGACAGGTGGTGCTGAATCGATTACCACACGACGATACTTTAACCAATTCCCGCTAGAGGGATACGAAGAGCAGACGATTCTCACATGTTTCGTAACAGCACCTAATTCCATACGTAAAGGATAACTACGTATTGCCTAATTCCGCCAAACGACAGCAAGCTTTCACGATCGAATATTTCGAATATTGCCGCGGACAAAATTTCGATAATAGTTGCTGGTGTGTACAACTATCTCTGAATGGAGTTCGAATTTCCTTCTTTTCGATTCTAGAAGCTTCGTGTCGGAGGACGCAAATGACAGTAGGAAAATCATTCATCTCCACTAAATTAGCACGGTGTGTCGTGCTGCCGCATTCTCGTTCGTTCTCCCTGCCTCTCGCCACGGGCAGTTTCACTCTTTTCCTCGTTCTGTCTATCCTTTGGTCCCCGAGCGAAGTCAGCGACAGCGTCTCGCATGAATTCCCTCGACGGTTCTGTCCAGGAACGTATCGCTTTGGAGATCGGACCATACCTACGGTCTCCCCGTGATATTCCGAAAGGATTTCAGCCGGCGGTGGCCATACGGTCGCGGCCATTGGTGCACGTGACGCCTCGCGTACGCGTGAACCTACCTTAAAGTTTCCAATCCCCCGTGCTCGTCGTATTCACCGATCCGCGACGATTCACGACGGTGCGTACCGCCAGTCGATTCGAATAATCGCCTCGTGGCAGGTGAGGACGAAAATCGGCGAGGCCGTGCTAGTCGTCTGGTCGGACAGCCAGCTAAGCCGTCGTCGCATGAGGCACGGACGGACCCGTAAGGCCGCGCCTCGATCGTTCGATCTTCTCGCAGAAAATCTCGTTACCGATCGTAGTGCGCGACACGGCGTGCGTGTGCGAGCTTTCTCGTAGCCATCCGCGCGCAGCAGCGCGTGTATTATCTTTTATTCGTTTTCGTTCGGTTAGTCGGTCCTGTCTCCGCATCTCTCGCGGTCGGTTTCCGTTTCGTTCCGAGCGCCGCACCACGACGGGACGAAGGCATGTCTTCCTTCAAGGGCGATAAGGCTCCAACCGCGAGGCTCTGCCATATCGTGAAATGGGACGATTTCGACGGTTACGGGTTCAATTTGCACGCGGAGAAAGGAAAGAACGGCCAGTATATCGGCAAAGTGGACGACGGCTCGCCGAGCCAAGCGGCGGGTTTACGGCAAGGCGATCGTATCGTGGAGGTTAACGAAATCAACATCGCGAACGAGACTCACAAGCAGGTGGTCGAGCGCATAAAGGCCTTCGCCAACGAGACGAAGCTCCTGGTGGTCGATCAGGAGGCCGACGAATATTTCAAGGCCGGCAACATTGTTATCAAGGGCACCATGGCGAACATCAAGGTAATCAAGACCCCGGAGAAGAATCCGAACAGTGTTGAACAAGAGGAGCTGAATGACAGCAATGCTTCCATCGACGAGGTACGTATCGAATTCTCGAAATCTTTTGAATTAGAATTCTTTATGTGCTATGCGGTTTACGCGAACGTTACGGCGGAAACGTTGAAACCACGATCTTCGAATCGTCGAGAGTGTCCACCTGTTGCTTCGGTCAGCTAATCGCTTCGACCGCTGACAGAGAGCGATAGTTTGTAACAGATACGCGGAAAGTGCACGCGCCAATCGTTCTTCACTTTCGAAGGTATTTCTCGAAATTATTCGTTTAACAATCGATGATAAAAAATACATTGTAATGCTTTTAAATTACGCATTACCCTTGAATATAACGTTTAATTGAATTGTCAGCGAGGCGAGGAACTGGCGTATTGTTTTCACTTCGATAATATCTTTGGATCCATGAGTCACGCGACACATGTCAATTTAATCGGGATTTCTATTCGTTTAACAAACTGCAGCTTCTCGTTCGTTATTGCGACTGATATAAAACGTTCTTGGCTCGAATATACTTTGAGTCTACCAAGTTGGGGTCTTTGGTTCTAATCTTTTCCACCGTGATTCGTTTGACCATTCTAACATCGTAAATAACCGGTGTTTACGATTAAGGAAGAATGGCCGCCCGTTTTTTAACGTGTTTAGCGATAAGCGGTTGCGTTTCAACCTTCTTGCGGCTCGAACATCTGTGTTTACCCCAGTTGGGCAGCAGAAGCGATGAACGGAGAAAAAAAATTAGCACACCATACGCGGTACGATGGCCTCAAAGTGTGCGAACGGTCGAACAAATAAGTAGAAACGGAAAGTTTAGATTTTTTTCTCTCTTCTCTAGCGGCACGATAAAAAGACTCGGTAAAATTGCGTGAAATGTGGCATTCGAGCGACGCGCGCAGCGTTGTTGGCACAAAAAAAATCTTCGTTAGCCCTGAGAAAGCTCATTTATCGAGCTACGGTTCTTGTTCGATGACTCGCACGAAACACGAACCCCCGACAGCCGTGAGAAGACTGCCCATCGATGCCAAAGATCCTGTTTAGACCAGCGATGGGCAAATTATATTTGAATTTTAATGTGCTTCGGCAAAAAACAATATAGGGTGTTCGGTAGGCCTTGGGAAAAATTTTAACGGAAGATTCTAGAGGCTAAAATCAAGAATATTAATTTCTTGACTATGGCTTCGTTGAAAAGTTATTAACAATTAAATTCAAAAGTTTTAAATCGTTCTGAAAAAATTATTTTTGGTTGCGGGGCTTAATTACAATCATTTTTGGTCATTACATATACTTCCGAAATCCTACCCATTTTCGAGAAAAAAAATCGGGTAGGTGCAGAAATTTGTCGACAAAAAAGATTTTTAAATTGTTCTAAAAAAATTATTTTCGGTTACGGGGGTCAATTACAATCATTTTTGGTCATTACACATACTCCCCAAATCCTACCCACTTTCGAGAAAAAAATTCGAGAAGGTGTGAAATTTTCCGAGTGAAAAAAAAATTTCAAATCGTTTTGGAAAAATTATTTTCGGTTGCGGGGCTCAATTACAATCATTTTTGGTGGATACACATACCCCTGAAATCCTACTCATTTTCGAGAAAAAAATTCGTGTAGGTACTGAAATTTTTGGACGAAATTAAAAAATTTCAAATCATTCTGAAAAAATTATTTTTGGTTGCGAGGCTCAATTACAAGCATTTTTGGTGAATAGACCTACCCCCGAATTCCTACCCACTTTCTAGAAAAAAATTCAGTACTGGCAGAACTTTAAATGTTAATAACTTTTTAACAAAGCCTCTATCAACAATTTAGTATTCTTGATTTTCGTCTTATTTTGGCCTCTATGTGATATAAAATTGCAGATTCGTTCGTAAACTAGCCTCTGTCAGCAGCTTTACTTGCCTGCATCGGATGCGAACATTTTATTCGCATAATAGACGGTCAATAAGTCCAACGTATAGCAATTTATTAGTATCGTTCGGTCGAACGGTTCAATTCTCGTCTGTTGCGAAATATTTCAGTTCAATTTTTACGTAACGAACGACGGGATAAACGATTGTGTCTTTTATTCGTTACTCGGAATTTTCAGTTAGATAATATCTTTATTGGATAATGATCTCGTATTTCCTTGCAGTTCTTACTAGCGTTGGATCCTTTTTGTTCTTAAACATTTTGGTTGACCCACCTTGTCGCGTTTGATATTCAGCTCATCGAATGGAATGTCCCCATCCAGACTATGCTTGTACTGGATTATATTAACTCTTCTATAACGAAGCAATTTTATTCGTAACCAATTCGGAACAAAAGAGGCTCGTTCTCTTTGTTCAGTGACAAAAGTGCCTGCAAGAATGAAGTAATTTTAAATATTTTAAAATTTGAAAAAGTAACGTACCATAGATATTCAAAATACGAATGCATTGGAAAGCTGAAATTGATCGTGAAACGATAAATGAATATGTGGAATAAAAGGTTTCGCAGGGTTCAGGCGGAGCAGATGCTGCAAGTGTGGAATTGTTCGAAGCTTTTGTACACTGTTGCTAAACGATTCTCCATGTGTATTGTATAACTTGGTGGAAAGACAGACGATATAATATCGTGTGTACACTTGTCTCGTTCCGGCGAGACGCCACCGAACGATAACACACGTAGAAGTTTTTGATACCATTATCACAGCCACCGCGGATGCTCGTTCTTCTTACAACGATTTTATTTCATCCTCCGTTGGGCCCCGTTGCTTTTGCACGAATCATATTTTCCTCTTCTCTCGGCAATAACACAAACTGTTTTCGTTTCGTATAAGTTGCCTAATTGCAGCTGTAAATTAAACGGTAGATTCGTCATTAATAATATCTGGGCTGATTTACAAGGCGCCTAAAAAGAGAAATATTATAATTCAAGGTGCGCGATAAAATTAATTACTTGGGATTAGAATCTTAAGAGCGTTCGTGTCTCACGAGCATTCAAATTCCTTTTTTTTCAGAAATGAAAGTTTCCATGAAGATTACAATATTTAAACAGAAACGAAATATTCCCAGTATTTACCAACATATCGATAGTATTTTAATCGAAGATAATCAGTTAAGCAAATTATTACGCGCACGTTATTAACGTGGTTTAAAAATGCAACGAATAGGATTTCACCTAATTTCTTCTACGGTAGAAAAGATAGAGAAAATGATCACGCAAATCTTTTATATCAAGTTATAGCCACTTCTTAATCATTTTTATCCGAGGTATTTTTCGGTATTCTCATAAAGAGATATTTTATGTGATAGTAAAGTTGAGTAACGTATCCTGTACGTGAGAAAAACAAAGGCTACGAGAGATAGCCATCGTTATTTATGGATCGATAAAGTTTCATTGAATAGATACAGTGTCCGATTTTAATCTATAAATTCGAATTATCCGTAGACTACCTGCTGTATGAAAAATGGGAGGAGAGGAAGCTTGACTAGGGAAGAATGACTAAGAAAGTTACGAATGGAAAAAGGAAGAAGCGCGGAAAAGCAAGATAATCCAAAGAAGAAATCGAAAGACAATAGTTTCGATACGGTTAAAAGTATCGTAACAAATATTCTCGACTACGAAAAGTCTATTCTTCCATTTAAAAATGTATGTATGCGTTAGAACTCGATTACGATGATTTACATATATGCAGGTTGAAAAGTAAAAACGTATTCTAGATTTTCGATGCATGTTTTCAGGAGAAATCATTATCTACACGCTCTCATCGCGTGTTTTAACACACTGTGCATTTTCCACGACGCATAATGTACGCGAGCAGCATGAAATTTAATATTTCATCGGGCGTTTCGTTTTTACGTTATTCGTTCCATCGCGTCACGGATCAAGAGGAATCTCGACACGGAGGAAATTAAAGTCGAACGGTTGGGAATATTTTCCCCAAGGTCCCAGGAACCATGCACCAGTCGCGTTCCTTCAAGGACGACACTTTGTCACCCTCCAAGAACTTCGCTTATTAGAAAAACCAATTTTTCATTTACGGATTTCTTCGCGCGATTATGTGGTTGGTCGAAGGTGAGCGTTCGCGAGCATCGAATGACTCATCCTCGGCGCTCGTAAACGATAAGATACGTACAGAAATGACGCAAGGATTCGTTCCGTTCCTTCTCGAATTCAGACGTTTTTTTTTTTTTTTTTTTCAGTTTTGTCGGTCGTGTTTGGCCAAGTAATTTTTGTCAAACGTCTCTCCTCGTTAACGCCGTCCATCGGACGTGCCGTGCGCGGTTTCTCGTACGCGACGATAGATCGCCGCGAAGCATTCTCGGATGTAACAATTACGGCGTTAATCGTCGGAAGTTCCTATTTTGCAGAACACCGCGTCACTGGCCTTAATTTGCGTTCCATGGGATCCGCGTTCGATCGTCTTTCCGTGATTCACGGCAGCTCCCACGAGCCCGATCGTGCGAGTTTATCTCGCGATCGGAAGATTCGTCCTCCGTCGATACGATTCGCCGGATTTCCGGTGATTTTTGCGGCGTAAAGTTACGTAAATTTCGCGTTGCACGGCGCTGCGCGATCGAAGACGTATCGCGAACTCCCCCCGCCATCGCGGCACACATTGTCTATGTACATTTAGCCAGAGTTTGTAGATCCGTTTGTAAACCAACATTTGCCCGCTGCTTCGCTCGGCTGTACAGTGGCGGACATACCTGGGAAAAAATTTTAAAGGCTTCGTTAAAAAGTTATTAACAATTAAATTCAAAAATTTCAAATCGTTTTGGAAAAATTATTTTCGGTTACGGGGGTCAATTAGAATCATTTTTGGTCATTACACATACCCCTGAATTTCTATCCACTTTCGAGAAAAAAATTCGAGGTGTGAAATTTTTCGATGAAAAATAAAAATTTCAAACCGTTCTAAAAAAATTATATGTAGTTACAGGGGTCGATTACAAGCATTTTTGGTCATTACATATAACCCCGAAATCCTAGGCACTTTCGAGAAAAAAATTCGAGAATGTGTGAAATTTTTCGACGAAAAATAAAAATATCAATTCGTTTTAAAAAAATTATT